TTTCTAGTTTCTTTTCTTTTTAGAGTCTAGCACCGGCAGGGAAGCTCTTCATGGCTTGGCGAACTCCAAGGTCGGCCATGATTTCTTCTGCACCACCCAAAATAGCCTAAATAAAGAAATAATTGAGGGTGAGAGGGAAAGGGTGATTTGATTTAGTATTTTTCTTTGTACGCGGGAGATAGTGCGTGTGATTGTGTGTACAAGAAGAATTGCGATTAGGAATACTTACCGAGAACTTGTATGTTCTTTGAAGCATCTCAATATGTTTTCCCATTCCAGTCTTTGTAAGTGCTCGTCCACTAATAAAATGATATATATGTAAATAAACTTCCAAGCCTTTTCTTTTATAGATATAAAAAGATAAAACTCACCCAAAGATCTGACAAGCAGAGTCAGATACATTGTGAAGCATGCGAGTGGACTGGTACTTGCACAAAGCTAAAGGACCAGCAAGCTTCTCGGACTGCTCTTTGTATCCCATGTGACACATTTGATAAGTGATGTTTTCAACCCAATTATGAAAGCTCTCGAGTTCAGCAACCTGTATGTATGTATATACCAAGAGTTTGCTTAGTTGTGCACTAAATATCAAAAAGTATATAGATATAGATATATTTACCATAACAGCAAGTTTATTTCTGATTACAGGTTGGTCGATAAGTCTCTTTCCAAAGACCTTTCTCTGGTTAGCCCACTTGAAGCATTCTTCAATCACAATACGGGCAGCCATAGAAACACTGGTAATCATTACCCAGCGTTCATGGTTAAAGTTGGAAAGAACCACCATGAAACCACGGTCCTCCTTACCCAGCAAGTTCTCAACTGGGACTTTTACCTTTATGTTTTTTTTTTAAAAAAAAAGATAAAAATATTTGAGTATTCAAAATGTAAATTAGTAGTAGTAGTAGTAGTAGTAGTAGTAGTAAGTATTAATATATATATATATATATATATATCTGTATTCAACATACGTTTTCAAAGATAATATAAGAGGTACCGGCACTGCTGCTGTAAGATGTCTTGATGGCTTTGGTCTCGACATCATCCGAACGGTCGATCAAAAGCATAGACATGCCATTTTCGGTCTGAACAGCGGTTGAGAAGTAGTCAGCATATTGACCTATTATTTTTATATTAAAGAAATAAAATTAAATTAAATTAAATTAAATTAAATTAAATTAAATAAGCTTAGTAACAAGGTTTTTTTTTATATACATAGGAAGGTATATCAACAATACATACCACCAGTAATCCATTTCTTTACGCCGTTTACACTGATATTTTATTTTATTTTGAATAAATAAATAAACAAATATATATATATTTGATAAAGATATAAATACTAGTGGTTAAAATGATTATATTATAATTCCTACTAGTATTGGCTCACTTACATGTAGTGCTTTCCATCAGCTGTCTTTTTGGCAGTTGTACGAATGCTTGCAACATCAGATCCAGCATATGGTTCGGTAATAGCTAAACAGATTCGTTTCTTTCCAGAAAAGACTTCAGGTACAATCTACAGGTAGCAGGCAAGTAGGTTATTATTATTGTAATAAAAAAAAGTTAAAACAGTATAAAGAACCTTGAGCTAATAGAAGAAGTTTCATGTAATATATATAAATATTACCTTTGCCTTGAGCGCAGGCGATCCGAAATTGAGGACGGTTGGGATAGAGATGACCATTCCACCAAAGATACCATCACCAGCACCACGAGTTCCCCAGCGTGCTGTTTCCTCGTGTAGAATCAATTCGTGGAAGTAATCGAATTCTTCGCCGGTGACACCACCGGGAAGAGTAATGTTTCGCAGCCACGGGCCGGGACCCACATTTGCGGCCAAAAGATTGTAACTTCCCAACTTCTGCATGAATTCATCTGTTGGTTTGGTCTCCGTGTCTTCAAAGTGGCGAGCTTCTTCAGCAAGTTCATCGATAATTGGGCGAATTGCAGCACGGAACTTGTAGTGGCTCTCCCTATGTGAATTTAGTTATTAATATTGGTAATACTTTTATAATAGTGAAAATGAAAGTATTACTTGTAATAAGGTGATTTGAATCCCATCCAGGCACTAGGTTCTCCATAAGGTACTTTGGAGAAGTCACCGTTCTGGCGAATGGTAATCTGGGCCTTCTCATTCGCAATGGTACCAATCTTGTACTTTGAGTATTTAACCAAGACTTCTTGCCTGTGAAGACCGTAGAAATCTTCCGTGGCGTCTTTTCCGGCCATTTCGAGAATAGGAGCAGCGCCTCCTGGATGAAAATTGATGAATCGGCTCATATCATAAACGCTCGAGTCAATAATGATCCAGAGGTCATTTTCGGATGCATGGCGACCGACTTCTTCACGAGTAAATGTTTTTAAAGACATAGCAGTGCCGGTGAATTAGAGTAAGATAGAGTGGGGGGGTATGGGTATGGAGAAAGAGAAAGAGAGTGGGGAAATTGAATACAAAAATGTGGGAATTAAAGTCTGTCAACCAAAAAATATATTTGTATTTTTTTTTTGTATATATAAAAAAGAATGTCGCTGTTTCAAATTTGAAGTGTTAATGACTAAACAGATTTCAATTTTGAATTCTTGGATTACTTGGATGATTTTTTTTTTATATATATAAATGTATGTATGTATACACAAATACACTTTAATTCTAACTTTCTTTCCTTCCTTATTCTTTATATAATATACATATATTTTTAACATTGCTGACAAGATTTAATAAGCCTGATTGGACAGAATCATCTAATTATCTCTTTATTTTGCACACCAAATCTCACGCTTTTCCTTATCACATCTGTCAAGTTCTCTTGTGTGAAAATATTATTTCTAAAGCCATTTCCCATCAATCGGAGCCCAACAGTGTATATACAATATACAGTATAGCATTGAAATATCTGTACAACTCCAAACTCTGTACAAGAGAACTTTTACTTGTATGTATACTTGTTTAATTTGTATGCATGATGTGTAATGTAGTGTAGTTTATGTAGTTTATGTAGATGGTTGATATTACTATAAGAATTATCGACTCATTGGGCATTTTGATGCTGATTCTCCTTTGATGTGCCCTAATTCAAAGATGTTGTAACCGGTCGTGTAGATGGATTTATAGACATCATAGACGGGTGTGAATCGTCCTTGGGCGTTGGGTGAGTATGGTGTTCGGATAACAAAGTCAGTGCGAGGAAGACAGAGGTAGCGAATGAAATTTGCTCGCAAACGCATAGTGTACCAGAAAATGGTCTTGAAAATTGGTGATGGAGGCTCTATTCCAAACGCAACAATATCGTGCTCATCCAGAACACATGGAATAATCTTGTAAACAATTGGCCAGAACAGTTTTGGTATCCGAGACAAGAGATGGTCAATTGTGTGTTGTGCACATTTCCAGTTTGATTTGCTGTATCGAACCACGGTCTTTTCATAATGCTATTTATTAAAAGTTTAGATATAGATATATTTATGTGTGCGTGTGATATTATTATTATATTTTTACCTGTCTGAATGCTGTAAGTTCTTGTGGTGTTGCTGGAATATCTTTGATTTTCATCTTTTTTCCTAAATCAGCCCAAATAACAAACATTGCCTGTAGATTTACATATATATATATATTATATTTTTGGTTAATAAGATAAAATGAGAAAAGTCAAAGTCAAAGGCGCTTTATGGGTACTGTGTAATATTGTTACACAACTGTACAAAAGTGCAAATGCACAGATCCATAGATGCACAGATGCTCAAGTGCACAGATGTGTATGTGTATATTGGCTTACGTTTATTTCTCGTTCGTCAAGCTCTCTCCACTCAAACTGGGCAATCCATCGAATTGGCTCTGCTACAAATAGACCGACTGTGTAAATGTGATCATCGTTACGGATATTGTGCTTTGCATGGATGTCGTTCAATCGGTTTATTGCTTGGGTTGCTCGTCCTCTTTGGTTCATGATGTCCATTTCACTTATGAACGGACAGATCTTCATGTGGTTCTGGATTCGAGGATAAGGATCTGCAATTTCACCTAGGATAAGCTCTGTGTCGTCTGCTCTCTTTGCACAGTCTTTCTCGAATATAGTTGATGCAACCAAGGTTTTGCTTATTGAAGGAACAACGAATGTCTTGAACAACGCAAATTCCAGTGATTCGCGTGAAATTACTTTATTTTATTTTTAAAAATATAAAAAAAATATCAGTAAATTATGTGCTTGTATTTGTATGTTTCTGTTATTGGGGTAAAGACTACAAGGCTTTTAAAGAGAGTGACTTACTGGGGAATTCTCTTCTAAATGCATGACTGAATATTGCTTCGGCAGCATCGTAATCTTCAAAGACAACCTGAGGATCAGGGTATTGTTTCCGCAGATTGTTTATATACTTGTATCGAAGAGACCGAACAAGGATAAGGTAGGCGCCAAAGAGGATTAGGCACAGGATATAGACGTTTGTTTTGGATAAGAGAGAATGTGTGGAGTTGACCCAGGCTACTGTTGTTTCAGTGAAGCTCATTTTGGAAGTAAATGACAATTAGAATGACAATTGAAGTGAAAATGAAGATAAGAATAGAGATGTAATGTATGTATAACGTGCAGTGTAATGTAGTGTTTTTGAGGGAATCAAAGTCTTGACAAGTAAAGCAAAAAAAAAGGATCTACTATAAATCCTATGCTTATATACTTTACACAACAATCCAATTCAAGAGAAACTGCCCACACGTCATTTAGAGCCTTTTTGTATTATAGGTTATATATATATATATATGTGTGTGTGTGTGAGAGAGAGAGGCTATGCACATTTATGTATGTATGTATGTATGTATGTAATTTTTTTTGTATACATCCTAATGGGCGTTTTTTCTGTCTTTATCTATCTATCGATCTAGATAATTGCTTCTAGGAGATACTGGGGCTACCAGAATCCAGTTTGTTCTTCTTCTTTTATTTATGTATTGTCAGGGTGAAGATACAGGGATTGTCTGACTTGTTTTCTTACTTATTTCTAACAACAAGAAACTATGAAATTGAGGAGGTTGCTAAATAACGAATGATAATGAATGAAAATGAATGATAATGAAATATACAAGTGAACCCTAAAAAGGCAACAAAAAAATATATGTATAAAAAAAGTGACTTGAAAATAGAATAAACCTGTCTATTACTGCTTCAAAATACAAATAAAATAAAAACCTTGAAGCCAACTTTTGTCTGCTACGATACTTGTTTATTGTTGTACAATATTTTATATTGATATATTACTTTTTCGGCTCTTCTTCTCAATCTGTGTACCTTTATAATATAAAAAATGTGTCGATCTCTTATCAGATTTATTTGGTTTTTATAATTTTTTGGGTGGATAACAATAGTTGAAAACAATAATGATAAATAAATATATATAAAAGAAAAAGGTACAATGCATGGACTTCTGGCATGTCCAAAGCATATTTTCGATATTCAGGAGAAGTAAAGAATTGAAAGCTTGCTGTTTAAAAGTATAAAGGAGTTAAAGAGAGAGAGAGAGTAAAGGGGGTGGGTGTGTGGCACAACTATCAAAGACATGTGGATTATCAACTTCCATGTACACCGTTATGTCAAATCCCTCTCCTCTGTCTTCCTTCTACAAAAACATAGACTTTTAATATGAGCATAATATATATATGTATATAAACATATATTTCTTCGTTTTAGTCCATAGAATCCCATCAGTGTGCTTTGGTGCGTTTGTAAAATAAGAAAGACCTTTGGACAAATAAAGAAATAAAAAAAAATAACCCCCAATTCCTCCAATTTGGGTCTAGTAGACTACATTCTTCTTTTGAGTACAAGATGTGTATATTCTATTATATTCTATATAATTATATTAATAAGATCTTCATGTTGAACAAACAACAAAAAAAAGAGCGGCTTTTGTACAAATAAAGACTCGTCGCTAAGAATTTTCAAGTACACAAGGACAATTTCAAGAATATAAGCTTTGAAAGTACAAAATTTAGTATGTATATATGTATTTATATGTTTTTTTTTTTACCAGCAAACAAATACAAAACCTTTTATTTTAATATCACCAATTATAAATAACAGTATTAGTAGTAAGAATAAAAAAAAACAGGGTATTTAGGGAAGTAGAAGCTACTTACATCAGCAATTCTGCCTAGTTATTTGTACTTTACTATACTTCAAAATGTACAAATTACAGGCACCCTTTGTGTTATGTGTGTTTTGTCATGCATTCTGCAATGCACCTTTTGGACCTTCTTTTTTTTTAAGAAAATAAAATAATATAAAATGATATATTCTGCAATAATTTATCCGGATATGTAAGAGTGCAATTTTGTGCTGTCTGTTTGTGTATGACGACAAATGAAGACATACAATGCAAGGAGATATTAATCAATGTATTTGTGCTGTATGGGTAAAGGTGTATAATTCCCTTGCCAATAGAACTATATATATATATAAATAAAAGGTGGGTAGTCAAACGATTGTCTATCTACAGATTCTATTAATCCTTTTGTTTGATATTGTTATTATTACTATTCTCTCTCTTATATATATATGTAGTAGTAGTAGTAGTAGATTTCTATATTCTGCTTACATATTTATAAATGAAGCTAATGCCAAGAAATGCTCTAGTGAATTTAGATAGATATATGTACTTTTATGTATGTATATGTGTACCGTCTTCTTTTTAAAAAAAAAACTATGCTCCAAGTCTAGAACAAGTAGATTAGCTTTTAAATACTTTTCTTACGCTTAATATTCGAGATTTTATATGAGACATTGATAATAGCAGTAAGTGGAAAACTGTGTGCCAAAGTATATTTCCAGTGGTTTCTTTTTATATGCATATCCCCATCATATGATAAAAGATTACATATATATATATATATATATATGTGTGTGTGTGTACTATACAGTAATACGTTTGGCTCAATTTTAGTATCTGCATTCAACCTAAAGATTGGCACTCATTTCTTTGTATTATTTTTGATTATTTACGTTGTTTTTATGTAGATATTATTTTGCACTGCATATATCAAAGCAGTTCTGTACAGCAAGTTACTTAATATCTGGTCTTGAGCTAAACCCATTACTATCCTCCTTCTATCTATCTATCTATCTATCTATTAGTATTTTAAAGGTAATCGGATATCCAGGGAAAAAAAGGAAAGGCGACGATGCAGCTAATTCTTCTTTCTTTCTCTTTCAAGTCCCTTGTCAGGGCAAGCCTTGTGGTATCCTTGCATTATCTACCAGGCACCTAATACCTTTATACAAATATATATACAAATATATATATATATATATATATATATATGTGTGTGTGTGTGTGTTTTATCTTTAATAATAATAATAATTAACTTTCAGGGATGTGAATCAAACTCTTTTCCAAAGTAGTGTTGTACTTCTTGAAATCCATATTTATTCTTTATATTTAAATGAAAACTCTATCACACATCATAATATTGTAGCATCAAAAGTCTAGAGTATATTGAGAATAAATGCATTAATATTTAATGCTTATCATTAACATTACCCACTCCAAAGAAAAAGGCAAAGAGGGGGTAGAAGGAGGAGAAAGAGTGGCTCCTTTTCTAGCGCCTATTACTTTTTATTTTTATCTTTAGTGCTTTTGCAGAATATCAGTATTTCTACTGCAAAAGTTTGGTTTTCATTTTTTTGTAACATATAAATGGTAGAATCAATGCAATGCCTTTAAGCTTCATGTATGTATATATCTAAGACCAATGATATGCTCAAGCTTCATTAACAGCTTTCTCGAGTAATCTGACAAGAGGGTTATTTATAATGAAGTAAGGAGAAGTATTATCCCAGTCAAGCGACTCCATGATGTCTTTTGTAAAGTAAATAAATATAAACCCTGTTGGGTAACCAGGCATCTTTCTCTTTTCTTTTCCTTGTGTGCTTTCATCACCTTGGTAACAAATTCCAGTAAGAATTGTGGTGTTTAATGCTCTTTTAGTATTGTTTTTTTTACAATACTTAATTTACATTTCTTGAACGACCCTTTGTCTCTGATTAGGTTTGCATTGATTCCCACTTCATCTATAAAAAAAACACCCATTCTGCTTTGTTTGAAACACATTTTGCTTACATTCTGGATAAAACTGAGCATTATTACAGCCCTCTACTCTTTCTCTTATTATCAGTTCCCTCATGAACTCCTTAACAGCCCTCTAACACATATATTTCTGACAATGTTGCACTCCCAATCAAAATCGATATTACTACATTTTCAAAAATGTGTATCTATATACATGGAGTATAAAAGTGTTGTATTGCTTTTCTCATTTATATTTCCACAAATGAAAAATCAGACTTTTGGAGTGGATACCCTGTTCTAAGAGCATCTGCAGCGGTTACATTATATGCTCACTATTAATCTGACAATATTGAAATTATTAAATTCATCTTTATAGAGAACAAATGTCCCATAAAATAAACTTCTTTTTTGAAATATGAACCCATTCTTTTTTTTTTGTGGTAAATCGGGAGGAAGGAATTTGAAACAAATTGAGTTTGCAAAAATAAAAATAAAATAAAAAATGTATGTGCGTAAATACAGCACTGATAGTAGTGGCTGCATATGTTTAATCGATGTTATTCTTTAAAACAAACCTCTTTAACTTTGTTTCAAAAGAATAAAAATAAAATAGCTTAATATGAGACTGTTACCTATCAATGCAAAGTCACAATTAAGTCAATACGTCATACTTGTTATTAATTATTATTATACATTTCAAATTTTTTTGTTTGTTTATTTGTTTTTATTTTGTTTTGGATTTCAAAGGATTAACTTTCATACGTACGCACACATAGATAACTATCAAGGTTGTGTATATGTTATCAAGTTCTGCACGCTCTTGTCTTTTTCGATTTCGTTCTTGTTCCCGCCCTATTGTTTCTCAATCTTTTCGTTTCTACCAATCAAATACTAGAATGATTAAGGACCCGCTCGTTTGGATCGACTGTGAGGTAAGTTACAATGATATAGTGATATGGATAGCAATAGTTATAGTAGCAGTAGCAGTAGAGTAGAAGTAGCAGTAGAAGTAGGAGAAGAAGTAAAAAAAAATACTTTGATGCATATTGTGTGGTGCTGTAACTGTGTCTGACAAGTTTATCGGCTTTTCAGATGACTGGTCTTGATATACAGAAGGACTGCCTAATTGAGATCGCAGTCTTGATCACTGATGGTGAATTGAATGTGGTTGCCGAGGTAAATTCATTCTGCTGTCTTTCAGAAAAGGCTAGCAAAAGATTATTTTGTCTCACCAAGTAAATTTCCTTTTCTCTCTACCTGCCTATCTTCCTACCTACCTACCTACCTACCTACCTATATTTATTTATTTTTTTTAAAAAAAAACAGGGGCCAGAACTAATTATTCATCAACCACGCCATGTGATGGACTCAATGAATGGTAGTCTTATTAGACTAGATATCTGTGAGAAAAGCATACTCATTGATTTGTATTAATAGAATGGTGTATTGAACACCATGGAGCAGTAAGTTATTTAGTTATTTAGTTAGTTTGTGATCTATTGTTACGGTCACTGTTACCTTGCTTTGTTTATAAATCAAGTTCATTTTCTTTTATTTACTTTTTACAACTGATCTGTTACAGTCTGGCTTGACTCGTTCAGTATTGGAGAGTAAAATCAGTACAGCCGAAGCACATCAACGAGTGGTGTCTTTTTTGAAAGAGCACATCCCAGCCGGAGTTGCTCCTTTGGCTGGAAACTCTGTCCATGCTGACAAGCGTTTCCTTGAAAAAGAAATGCCAGAGGTAGTTGAACATTTGCACTACCGTATCGTGGGTGAGTTTCAAGTAATCTTTTTTCCGGATAACACATGCTAAAATTGATAAATAAAAATTATAATAATAAATAGATGTGAGCACTATCAAGGAATTGGCCAAGAGATGGTAAGTAAACACATATCATTTTCAGATGCGTTACTCAATAGACATTGTTAAATCAGGAACCCTGATGTTGCAGCAGGTGTTATCAAAAAGAATGGCCACCGTGCTTTAGATGACATCAAGGAGAGTATCGATGAACTAAAATATTACCGCAAATATCTCTTCATTGCTCCACAGTAAAGGTGTAGAATCTAATTATATAATGACAATTTATTATAATTGGCCTGCCTTTCATCATTTGTGATCCAAAAGAATAAAATAAAATAGACACGGGATTTTGTACTCCAGACTTAATTCTTGGCCATGAAGATCATCGGCGTTGTGGATGAGTGGTTTGGGATGCGGGGCAAGGCTGGTAAAGATGGGGTAGGAAAGTATATCGGATTTTAATCGTCCTATTGGCCCCTCCCACCTGATTGTCACATATAAAATATTATATTATAAAATGGCGGGTTAGAGATTTGGTATGTTACTGGGAAGGATTCCGTTTATGGGTAATAAATAATACACACAAACACAGGCAGAGCAATCTAGAATTTCAAGAAGAGCATCATAGTTAATAGTAAAGTGTATCATTTTTATGTAGATATATATTTAGCGGGCTTTTAGTTTGTACTTTTGTGTTTTTGTTTTTAGTGCTTAGAAGAGGTACATGAAATCCCCCACAAAATCACAAGCAAATTGTGTGTGTGTGTATATATATATATATAAAGTACCCCAGCTTTTTGCAATAGTATTTTAACGAGTTAATATTTTATTGAAACAAGGGCCCATGTATTCGTCTTTTTTTTTTTATATTTATTTATTTATTATATATATTGTTGTGCGGGGAGGACCAATAGAAAAAAAGATAAATGATTTGATAATTGAATATCATCAATATAATTTATACAGACTTATAAATATACCAATACTAATGCGAATTAGCATTCAAACCCTAATACAGAAAAATCTCCTACACCACAATCGGTGTGGCGATGGAAACTAATCGTTTTTCCTCTACTATAATTCTAAGTCTAATTATCATTATTAATTGGGATTTTTTTTTTCTATTACAAACATTTCTTGGTTAAAGTAAATCCGTATGATTTGATTATATCGAATATCTACACCACAAAATAAAGTCAGTATAGAAACCAACAAACAAATACACAAAATGCACACACAAATGTTAAATTTCAATTGAACTATCCATTTTCAATGTAAAAATAAACAAAAATATATATATTTTATTATTATTTTTATCACTATCATTGATTTATTTATTATATTCATTTATTGAAAAAATAATAACAATAGTAGTAAAAGTAAAAGAAATATATATATAAAAATATATATATAAAAGAGAAAGAAAAGAAAAGTACATTTAAAAGAATAGAGTATTAAAATATCAGAATTGATGAAAGTGGAAATGAGAGATAAACTCAAGGCAGTAACGTACAGCTTCAATACATCGAAAGTAAAGAGAATAAACAAAAGGGGAGGAATCAGGCTCAGCCAAAATATCACAAAGAAAAATAAGAAAGACGAGTAGTAATAATAATAGTAATAGTAATAATAGCAGTAACGGTGGTAGTGGTGGTAGTGGTAGAGGTAGTAAATAGTAAATAGCAAATAGCAAATAATAATAAGTAGTAGGAGTAGTAGGAGTAGTAGGAGTAGTAGGAGTAGTAGGAGTAGGAGTAATGATAATAATGATAATAATAATAGAAATAGAAATAGAAATTTAAAATAAACTCTAAAGTAGTATGCAATTACTTAAAGTTAGGACCCTTTTCATCAGAATCCTGGTAGTTCTTTTTGATGTCAGTTGCAGCTGAGTTGGGGTTAAGAGTATCAGGAGAGACCTTTTCCTGCTGGACAGAGAAGTTGGATGGCATGCGACGGGATACAGGGCGGCTAGCCAGGCTGGGTACACGGGAAGAGCGGGGACGTTGGGCGAGCGACTCGGCGTCATGCTTGGAGTCATATAGAGAGACCGATCCGATATGAGAGGCGATGGACTTTGCGTCGTTTTGGAACTCTTGGGTGGAGAACAAGACTTCGATCTCCTCAAGAGACTTTCCTTTGGTCTCGGGGTACCAGAGATAGATGGGAACCAAGAAGATGACATTAAGGATACCAAACAGCAAAAAGGTCCAGTATTTGGCGTATTCAAACAGGACGGGTGCAATCATAGCAACAACAAAATTACCAAGCCAGTTGGCAGCAGTCGACATCGAGTTACCCTTGGCACGCAGAGCGGTGGAGAAGATCTCGGAGGGATAGAGCCAGGCAAGACCCAACCAGGCGGCACCGAATACAAAGTTATAAAGCATGACAAACAAAATGACACCAGGGGATGCCTTGGTGTTGCCGTTCTCGACAGCATATTGGCAGCCACCGACAACAAACAGAGTGACAGCCTGGCCGATAAGACCCCAGTACATGAGCCATCTGCGACCAAGACGATCAATGGTATAGATTGCAGTCAGGGCACCGATGAAGTAGACAATCGAATCAACACCGGCCATCAACATGGCCATTTCGGTGCTCATGCCAGCCTGCTTGAAGACGTCTGCGAGATAGTAACTGATGACATTGATACCACCAAACTGCTGGATGATCTGGCCACCCATACCCAACAGAACACGATAACGGTTGTTCATCTTGCCCTTTTTGAAGAGATCTTTGTATGAAGAAATGTTTTCACGGCGCTCGAGCTCAATACCATCGCGGATTTCTTCCCACTCGGCTACACAGCGGGGGTGATTGATATCGCAGTCAGACCAGAGACGGGACAAGACTTCTTTGCATTCGTCTTCATAGCCATGAGCTTGTAACCAACGAGGAGATTCGGGCAGGAAAAACGAAGCAGCGCCAAGAATGATAGCGAAGAACATTTGGAAAGCAAGAGGGAAGCGCCAGACGACCTCACCTTCGGCAAAGTAGAGACCATACTCGAGCCAGTAGGCAATTCCGACACCGACGGTCAAGAGAGAGGCTTCAAAGGCTACATGAGAGCCTCTGGACTTTGGTGGCGAGAGTTCTGCTTGGTAGACAGGGATTGTGGCGGTGTTCATTCCGTTTCCAACACCAGTGATAATACGGGCGACGATCATCATACCAGAGTTGACGGCAGCAGTCTGGAGGATGGCACCGATGATCAAGATGAGACAGCCAACACGGATAGTCTTACGACGGCCGAGTTTGTCACCAACTTTTCCTGTAGAAAGAGCACCGAACATACAACCGATTTCGTACAGGGCCACAATGGCACCAACGAGAGCTGAATTGTCTTGACTACCCATGGTAGCTTTGAAACCATCGTTCGCAACGACACCAGACATGACACCCTTTTATTTTATTTTTTAATTATAAAAATTTAAATCTGTTAATCATCTTTTTCAAACAGATCAAATCGAAAATGGACTTGAGAGCAAGTAAGAATAATAATGTATATATATATATATTTACCTGATCATAACCAAAGAGCAAGAACCCAATGGCTGCAAGTAGCGTGGTTGCCCGGAACAAGGCATCTCCTTTAAGCATTGTTGTTGATTTGTAAAATGTGTGTGTGTGTGTGTAGCTATTAGATTATAGAATTATTGATTAAAGAATACAATATACAATAATATATATATATATATATATTAAAAAATAAAAAGAGAAGAAGAAGAAGAGGAAGAAGAGGAAGAAGAAGTTATAACTCTAAAGGTTTTGCTGGGCTCCTTTATATACTTTCACCCTCGATTTGATTCCACGGATCAAGAATAAAATATACATATAAAAAAAGTGCCATTTCTATTATATAAATTTATAAAATACAATAAATATATATAATAAAAAAAAAAAAAGACTTGTGTTGGCGTTTGTGTTCGTGTGTGTTCGTGTGTTCTGCCTTTCTTTCTGCGATATGTATATGCGGGGTGTATCTTTAATTTTTTTTTTTTGCTGAGATATTAAAGTTTGTGCGACAGGTCAAAACAGATTCAAAATTTTCTACTGCACTTTTTGAGACCAATTTACGGACTTTGTAATGTATGCCGTACTTTAAAAAAAAAATTCTTTATTGCGGGGATCTGTGTTTTTATATATTTTTTATAACGTCCGCCAAGATCAACAATTTTTTAAAGAAGTGTATACACTTGTCAATTGTGTTTATTTTTTTTTTGGGATTTTTCACTTATACCACACTTTATACTCTATATACTTATAATATATAATTATGTATGAAATGTGCAAAGGCATGTATTGTGGATAATCAAAGCCAAAAGAAAACAAAATCAAATCAAATCAAATCAAATCAAATGAATGAATGAATGAATGAACGAATGAAAATACCCATGTACTTATTGATCTGTCTACAAAGTTCAATAGGTCATTGGTGAAAGATAGACGGAGAAATATCCGCTTATAGAGAGACAGAAACATTATCTTGCTTTCTTTACAGAACTCAAATTTCATGTTTTCTAAACTATTCATCAGCATAAATATGCTGCATTCAATCGTGTTTTTTTCGTTATATCATTTTTTAGTCATAACAAAAAATATACTTTTGAAAATGAGTAGGGTTTCAAAAATTACTATTCCATCAATGGTTCAAATCATTTATTTGATCTTATGGTTGAGGTATTTATGACATGGTTAAGTATGAATATCTCCATTATTGTTTCATTTTATTCCTTAAAAAAACACACACTTTTGCTCACAAAGGAAAATAATTAAAATTGTTATATAGTAATAGTGATATATGGTACATTTTACACACAAACACAAAATATAGATAAATAAATATTAGAATTTGTATTCTTATTTTCAGGCTGATATATTTCAAAGGTCAATATGATACAAAACAAAAAAAAATAGGGTTGTGTAATTTGGGTTTGACAAATATTATTACAAATAGTTCACAGAGTACAGGTGAACTTTTCTTACTGAATATACAAGCTATTTTTCTGTAATTTTATTTGGCTTTTGGTTTTTGGTTTTTCGTATAATTCTTCTTTGATTTCTCTAACCTAGTTGTTTAATCTAATTAGTAACTCCAGTAAATTCGATTCAATTCAATTCAATCCAATGGAATGGAAAAAAGAATACCAGGCATTTGTATTTTTGTATTTTTTTGTATATTTGTTTATTAATTGAGATATTGGTCAAAAATTATCCTCTCTTTAGAGAACCAATTGTAGTGCAGACAAGATATCAAGTTTCTTGCCTCCCAGATAAACTAACAATAATTTGGCAAAAAAGATGTTATTTAAGTCTATTAATAATTGCAAATGAAAAAGGTTCAGAGTAGTTGCTTGCGGCAGATCAAATTGGACCAAAAGAATGACTTAAACATCTTTGTTGATCTTTGTTCATTAGAATGACCAGACAGATCAGACTTTTTTTTTTTGGTTTTCAACAGTTGAATAGACTTTCATTTCTGGATCTGGCGGAGTATTATAACAGAGTCGGTGAATGTGTTTTATAGTCAGCGACTATATATTCAAAATCCGAAAAACTGGGACATTGTAATAGCTGTATACATTATACCATTGTCGTACTCAAAACGGGAGCTTCTGGGATTACCTTGGGTAAATTGTATGCTCAACTATAATTATTACTATATATATATATATTTATACGTCATATTGGCCAGGAACTCCTTGTACAATTTGTATACTGGTTTAAATGACCTTTAATCCAATTATTGCCTATCCAAGATTTTGCTATTTTGTAACTATATATCTTTCTTTCAAACACTGAACTCGTAATATTTCTTTATTCGTTTGTTTGTTTGTTTATTTATTTATTTATTTTTATTATAACTATGCATGTTGGTAAGACCAGATCTATAGAAATCGGTTGATAGTAATCATTCATATGATGGATCTACTGACGCAACAAGACAGAGTCTGTTATTTTCTCTCTAAATAAAATAATAAAAGAACCACCTTGGAAGTACAAGATATTGTTGTACTTTTGATTTTAACTTTATATGTATTTTCTCTATCTCTCTTAGTCATACTATCAAAAACAATTATTGAGTAAAATAACTAAATAGATAAATAAATAAAGGCTATACAAGGTGGGAGGGCCCCACATTTCGGAGCTGGATAGGCGTTGTAGGCGTGTATGATGGATATAGAAAACAATGCCTACTATATAAAAAGGCTTATTTTTTTAAAAGGAAAATACTTTGCTGAAACCCCGTATTTGATTGAAGGAAATAATATAAAAATAAAAATAAGAAGGGATTAAAAGGGACAAAAACGGGGTAAGAACTAACGCTGTAGGAAAATAAGAAAAAAAAAAAGAAAAAAAAATCGGAATATTAAATATTAAATATTGTATTTGAGTTGAAATACCAAATAACAGTTTCTTGGCCTATACTCATATCGATATATGTATTGAAGGCATATATCTATGGTTATTTTTCTTAGAGCCAGCACGTCCTTTCACTGAAGGTTATGAATAGATATTTAAACACAGACAAATAAGATTAGCAAGTAATAATAACCCTAATGTTAATAGTTGATATGAATACTTCTTTAACTGACATAACGAAAGAAGCAAATAAACAGACAAATAAGCGAATCGTCAGCAAGTACTGAAAGAATATGTTTCCTTCTGTTAGTTTAGATACATAAGACTGCTCCAAAATAAACCACCACAGTTCAAGGTTACGTGAAGATGAAATCATCATCAAAATCAAGCCTAATGTTCTTTAAGTTTATATATGCTTATAAGAAAGTGCACATATTGTGATTAATGCACTACTTATACTTGACCTTCAAAACATTAATGCTTACATCTCTTTGCTTTATTCTGTAGCTTTGTAACTTTGGATTACAAGTATATCTATAAAAAGCTTCAAAGTCTTCATTTTCATCATCCATTATTAAATTAAAATATATTAATTAAAATAAAAATGTGTACTGTGCTAATTCAAAAGTGATGTCAGCAAATTATTGGCCACAGTTAGTCCATTAGAATCACAAAAAATCATGCGTAATTCTTTAAAATTATATATTTATATTTTATATTTTTGAAAGCATACATACATAAACACACTCATATATCCATTTCATTTAATCTTATTGCTTCCATATCAGAATAATATTTACAGAATGAGTACTGATAGACGACGCAAGACTTTGCCAGTTGTTAAGACTGAGAATGACATTATTGAAGAAGTTGAGCAATCACGATGGCAAGAAGAGTTTACCGACGAGCCATTTTCTTTGACAGCTGATCCTTCAGCACAATACGAAGATCTTACCCATGAAGATTCAAATGAATTTGCATCCAGCTCACAGAACTCACAGTATTCCTCGAGCAGACCTAATTCTCCACAACCTCATTGGCTACAATTGTCGGCTGATGTTGATGAGACATTTCTCTTACGAACCCGTCACAGTCTTGGGTTGGATGTACCTGGTGCAGTACACACAATTGTACCACACAGTAAGAATTCTTTTTATCTTCTAGAAAAATAATTGATTGCATAGATACATAGACACGTACATATTAACTTTAACGAATGAATAAATAAATTAGAGCTGAGAAATGAAAGGCAACTGGATAGTAAACTGGCTATTGTCATGGGTAAGTCGTGTCAACATACGTTGTGTCAAAATAAAAGAAAGGAAGAAAAGAGAAAAAAGGTTGTAATCCGAGAAATCGATTTTTATTTTAGTGGGATTGCCTGCTCGTGGAAAGAGTTACCTTGTCAAAAAATTGCGACGTTATCTAAATTGGCTTCAATACGAGACAAAGGTGTGTTGAGCACATAAATATCCACACGATACACTATACTATACTATACTATAGGAACGTACACGCACACACACACACATACATATACATATATTGGATGGTGGGCTTACAATAGTGTAGATCTTTAATGTCGGTAATACTCGACGTGAACACGAGACCTCCCAAACAGAACAGAATGCAAAATTCTTTGACCCTGACAATGCTAGCATGAAGCAAGTGCGTGATGAACTAGCTATGGAAGTACTCGAGAATCTGGTAGAGTGGCTTAAAAATGGAGGGAGAGTAGCCATTCATGATGCAACAAACTCTACGTTGTCAAGGAGGTAGATATTTTTTTTCGGCAGGATCACAGTAAATCCTATGAATTTAGGCAAAACTAATTAACTTGCTTGATCAGAAAACTACTAATAGATCGTCTAAATATGGAGCCTGAGATCAAAGTGCTTATGTTGGAGTCGGTCTGCACAGACAAAAATGTATTTAACTCAAAACCTTTCTTTTTTCCTATTACTTTTCTATACATAATTCAGTGCATTAATGAGAAACATATATTATCTTGTGCATCTAACTTTATCTACCGGATAGATGTTGGAACGTAACTTCTTGCTTAAATTGTCCGGGCCAGATTACAGAGGCAAAGATCCAGCACGGGCCTTGGCTGATTTCAGATCTCGTGTAGCGAATTATGAAAAGGCCTATGAACCAATTGGTGATTGGGAAGAGGATCATGATATACAGTATTGCAAACTTATCAACGTAGGAAAGAAAGTAATTGCGTACAATATATCTGGCTACCTTCCTGGACAATGTATCTTTTACCTCATGAATTTTAACCTTGTAGGCAAGTTTACCAAATAATAATAGTAATGATACTAATACTAATACTGATACTGATACTGATAGTAGCAGTAGCCTTTACAATTTATCTTTATATGTATATATTACACTATAGGTAATAAGATAACTTATTCTATTCTTCTCTTTTTGTGTGTGCATATAGAGCGACAGATATTCCTGACTCGCCATGGTGAAAGTACGGACAATGTTTTGGGTCGTATTGGCGGAGATGCACCTGTAAGTAAAATAATAAAAAGATGGGATTAAAAAATAAATAAAAATAAAATTAGTAACAGATCGACCTCAATTTTTTTTTCACAGTTGTCACCTCGAGGAAAGAAGTTTGCAAAGGCACTTGCTAGATTTATCAAGCAGCAGCGACTAGCATTTGCATTGGAGATGGTAGAGAGTAAGAAGAGAGAAGACTGGCGAGCACACAAGGCAAACAAAAGTCCTATGCCAAGCACTCCACAAGAAGAGGTCAGGGCCAAGGTCAGGGCCGCTTCCAATTCCCAGTTTACAGTATGGACTAGTATGCTGAAAAGATCAACCGAGACGGGTGCTGCGTTTGACCCAGATGAATATGATGTCAAGGTTTGTGCTTCCTTGCTTTACCATACAGAGCATGGACTCATTGTTATCTGAGTACATACAGCACATTCGGTTCTTGAATGAAATCAATTCAGGTGTAAGTATTTTAGTGATAGTAGTAGCTATAAATTTCTTTTTTTTTGTGTGTGCTTGGCTGTATCGTTATCTCTTGACTAAATTCTATTGTCGAAACCAATAGTGCTGTGAGGGACTTACATACGAAGACATTCAAAAAGCCTATCCCGAGGAGTTCCACGCAAGGCAAGCAAACAAGCTTTACTATCGTTACCCAGGAATGGGCGGAGAATCATATATCGGTAGGTAACCAAAAAAAGACAGAATACAGAATTCTAGGCTGAATCATACCAAATTAGATGTGATTCACCGCTTACAGTCAATGATTATCGAACTTGAACGGATGACACAGTCCTGTCTTATCATTACCCACAGAGTAATTATGCGTATTCTTTTGGGCTATCTCCTGGACTGGACACAGACAGAGATGCCACACATGATGGTACCAATTCACACGTAAGAAAACGCAGACAAATAGATTGGTAGATAGATCGATAGATACGTTGAGTTTTGCTGGTCTTTTTATTCTTTTTTCTTTATTTAAAAATATTTTAGAGTTTATGAGATCCGACCCAAACCTTACGGCACTGAGCTAAAGAAATGGCAATATATAGAAGAAACAGACCGTTTTGAAGAATTCTAGGGTCAAGTTGTGTAGTACCTCCCCTTCTCCTCCTTAATGGATAGATAACACACACACACACATATATATATATATATATTAGACAATCAGACCCTTTTAAACATACAAACACACATTTTATACATACTATATACATATATACATATTATATATATGTATATCTATTGTGTATGGGTGTGTAAAACAGAAGAAACACCCTGGCTTCTAGTTATTTTCGTCAATTTTTAGGCAGTTTTTCTTTTTATTTAGTGTTTTTACCCGTTTCCCAGATCTCACCATTATATATATCTAATTATATATTGGACATCTCAAAAAGAAAGATTTTCAACATTGACTAGAAGCGTTTCACAGTTCTAGTAACCAAAAGAAAATATCATAAAGAAATAGATAATTCCTTTTTCCCTATTCTCCCTTGAGAGGGTTTTTCTTTTTAGTTGTTGTTATTAATCCAGTTAATATGTGCTTATCAATTTGGCTAAAGGTATCTTAGGAACACAAAAAATAAAATAAAAAGGCTATTGTATACTGTACCTCATCAAAAGGATAGTGTAAAGCCTTTGTATGCCAATTCATGACGTATAGTGGCCAATAAATAGAATCAAGCAAAACCGAGATTATTAAGATTTGTATATTTGTGTAGCGTTTGGGCTTATTTTGCAGAGAAACCATAAAAAAATTGCACACGCTAAAATAATATATATATATATATATATATATATAAACCCCCCACCACCAACAACACACAGATACATAGATACATATATGTACATTATAAAGAAATTGAGCTTATTGTAGGACAGGTTACAAGAATATATGTGACTTTTTTTTTTCTTTTCGTTCTTTTCTTATCGATGCCGCTTAGCAACTGTTATACTTTACACACATGCTTGTAAATGTTCACACTTTATAAAATAAATAAAATAATATCACCTCATTAACCCAAGTAAACATGAAACAATCAAAAAGACAAAGGTCCTGTAGGTTGCACATTCGGTAGCTAAAGGGACAGAGTCATGTAATTTATATATATATATATATATATTTATAAATAAGCTGTCGAATTACATTCCAAATAGTAAAGAAAAGATAGCGTAAGGTGTCTGTAGGCTTTGCAAAATGAAAAATATTTATGTGGTTTCAAATTCAAAAAATTAATAACAATAAAGCAATAGAAAACAAAGCATGTAAATATATATTATATATATATATTGGTTGGTTGGTTGGTATGGAAATAAACAAGATATATGAATATCTGTATGTATGTATATTTTGGAAATAAGCAAATACTCATTCCAATGAAATAAGCGACAATGGAAATATAAAAAATTGGGTAATATTATAGCGTATATACACCTTTTCTTTAAGATAGAGAAGAAAAAGAGAGGGAGTGAGAGGAAAATGAGAAGGCTTAAGTATAGCCATGCTATCACTCAACATTGTATCCCTGGCTAATAGCCTTGTTGAGCTGGATCTGCATGTTTCCAAGTCTATGCTCCATTTCACTTATAGTCATCTTACTCTTCTCTTGTTCTTGTTCCATGAGTTCAAGTCTTTTTTTCAAAAGTTCGACTTCATGGCTCTTTATCTCCAAAGCATCCGATTTCTTCATAAACCTGGTTTGCAGAAGATCAAACATATCCTAAGCAAATTCAAACAAATAAACATTATAAATACATAAATAAATAAATAAATAAATACTCACAGTAGCCTGTGCAAATAATTCAAACTCAAGTAATCTGTGAGCACTAGGTCTCTTTGCCGGATCCTTGTCCATCATCCAAAGTATAAGAGCGGACTATTAGGATACATATAAAAGCAATCATGAAAATAATTTTCTTGAGTTTAGCTTGTGATTTTTCAATTTTAAATTAATGTATACAAACCTCTTTTGGAAATCGTTTGACAAATCCATCGGGGAACAAACCATCCTTGAGTCTGTCTATGGCAGTTGCTCGCTCCATACCAGTAGTAAAAGGTTGATAGAGTTCAAAGAAGATAATCCCGAGCGAGTAGATATCAACCTTTTCATCATAAGCCTGCGCAGGGACAGCAAGTTGTTCAGGAGAGGCATACTGTGATACATAAATACAAATATGTGCAAGTGTTAATTTGCTCTGTTCAATGGCTGTTGAGGTTCTTAAAGTGTATTTACCGTACGTGTGCCAACACCAATCGTGCGAGTGCGCATAGGTAGTTTAGGTCGTTTCTTGAGTAAAGTTTGGCTAGTGGTCGTTCCATCGGGTATGTCCATATCCAATTGACTTTTGGGCTCTGACACTATTGAAGTGGGCAATACTATGGTTTTATCTCCAGTTTCGTCTAGCACAGTTGCAGCCAATCCAAAATCTCCTATTTTGGGTACCCAGTCTTCGCTGCATATACTCTTGCGCCGTGGAAGTTCTTCCGAAGGAACAGTCAGGCTGGATCTACGTGAAGTACGCCCATTTTCACTATGTGAAGAAGGCACACTAAGAAATATATTACTAGGCTTCAGATCACGATGAATCAATCCGCGATCATGAATATAGGCTGCTCCTTGAAGAATCTGAGAGAATAACAAGATATTCTTGTGACAGTCTATTGCATCAGTAGACCCTTCCTGATTTCTTGTCTTTATGTAATCAAACAAGGTTGCTAAGGTGATACAAAATTTTCGGTTTAGTTCTTTAGTTTCTTAAAATAATTATATATATATATATATATTCAAACTTACTAGGACAAAGCTGCATCTGAATAAACAGAGTCCAGCTACCTTGATCTTTTCTTTTCTTGCACTTGCTAGCTTGAGTACCGCTACTCAGAGAATATGTCCCAGATGAACAATTACGATTATTCACAAAAGACTTGCTTTGGTTGAATGAATCTGAGAAAGCGTCCACCGAAGGTTCAGCAGAACCAGTTTCAAACACAATGCCCATATCAGAAGGTTCTTCCCAATTGATGTGCTGCTGTTGTTCGGCCACAGAGAATGTTGCCACAGAAGATGTGTCATCACCGGTCGTGCAACAAGAGCTGTCGCCGGCTGGAGATTCGTACTGACTAGCCTCGGTGCGATTGTCTAGAAACTCACTTTCGTCCGAATCTTCAGAAGATTTGTGGATTGCATTAGAGTCATCGTATTCAAGCCAAGATGCATAATAGCGAATCACGTTCTGATGCTCAAGTCGGGCAAGATTCTTTATCTCTCGAAATATCTTTTCATAGGGATTGTCTTTTCCAAACTCTTCTTCAAGATCTTGTCCTAGCCGAATCTTTTTGACAGCATATTCAATCCCATCAAGCTTATTACGTGCTTTCCATGCGCTCGCAAAGCCACCTTTGCCTAGTAATCCTAGTTCCACAAAGTCATTTCTGTACCTTGAGTTGTGCACACTCAGGTTGTAAAACACATTTCCTTTTGAAAACAGATCCACAGCCTTTTCATTGCTCGGTTCTCCATTTTCTGAATTGGGAGACATTAAAGACAGAGTGTCAAAGTTCAAGGGGTTGAGCCTATCATTTGAACTCTGGTCGGTTCTGGCGCCGGTGTCGGGCAACGTCAACCGCTGATCATTTCCAATTCTCGGGACATGTTGATTGTTAACTGTCTGCACAGCCGTGTAAAATAACTTGCGAAACGCCTGTTGAAAAGTAGATCGAACACTGGCTACTTCATCGACGAACTCAGCATCAATAAAGCCCAATGAGCGTAGTGTCTGGCAAATAAGAAAAAACACGCGATGATTTGCATCAGGAGAATCTCCATAGGTATTACAGAAATATTCAATCAAAGCCACGAGGAGCATTTTTGTTTGATTACGCCTTGATGGGGATCCACGCATCGTTTGTCGTAATTGAAAATCAGGGTCTTTCGGCTTGAAATCGTCATTGCTAGGCCAGTTTGGATATGAAAGATCTGCAATTGGTTATTACCGAGCCTTTAACAGTCGATTGATGAAATTACCTGTAGGAAGTGTGGTTCTAGTTGGATTACTGTTTGAGAAACCAGACCTTGAACATTCCGGACTGGATTCAGGAGAATCTGTCAATAATGAAATAGAGTGTGGGGAAGGTAGGTCACCAATAGTAACCCTATGGCTTCTGGGACTTTCTTTTACTGCCATTCCGTTCAATTCAAAGGAGCTTTTTTTGTTTTCGTTTTTATTTTTACTCTCGAGAAATAAAAGAATAGTTAAAGAGCTTTGAGAACATATATGCTATATTCCTTGATTTTTTATTGGTTAAAAAATAAGTTAGTTTCCTATGGATTGTTGCAGAAGGCCTGACATTAAAATTTACAACAGAAATGTTTTACAATGGTATTGCTGGCTTGCGATATATACTTTTAGCAAACGATAGGCGAGAAATGAGGTGACCCATTAAAGTCATATATTTATATATATAATAGAAATTACGTATATTATTATCTGCGTAAACCCAAGCCGATACTCTTGTTATTCTTTTCTCTCTTTTTTAGGAAAAATAAGAACTCAAAATAAGACATACAGTGATTGTGTATGTGTATGTGTAGGTATTTTTCTTTTGTTTTATACCATTGTATTGTAAGCCACAAAATATAACTGACAAATACTTTGATAATAAAATGAAAATGATTATCGAAGCTGGCTTTAGTAGATTAATATGGTTTTTGAATAATATGGTTAAAGGATAACCTGTCTACTGTTCTTGCCTACAAGGTTCTCAAAAGAACTTATTTAATATATTAGGTAAAGTTCTTGAGAAATGTATGCCTAGCGACTTTTTCAAATCAAACAATTTAAACAACAAAATATATAAAAAAAATACCGTGAAGTTATCTACATTCATACTATAGCACTTGCGTAAAATATGTATGGGGTGGACAGGATAAAAAAAAGTAGGAACAAGTTCAAGAATGTAAGTCCTATTATTGGATTAGAGTTTAAAGAAACAGAGACTTTGAACTTTCAAAACGAAGTCAAAAAAGTTCAAACGATTTTGACTGGCTGGTCTCCTTCTATTGTCAATTACATTAAAAAAAAACATGCTTTTGATAGAAGAGATGTTATTGTAAGTACTTGCTTTTATCTAATATATATTTGAACCTTTGAACATTTTAGTATATCCACACCAATTGTGTAAAATCGATAGTATATAAATTTCAGCTATCATTCGGGCCCGACGTTTCTGTAGAGTATTAAAAATATTCTAAACACTGCTTTCCATTGTGTATTGGACTCCTGGAAAGTGACTATGGTCCAGCCTTCAATGGTGGCAGAGTACCTTTAAGCAAAAAAAATGTGCCCTGAAGAAATTAGTGAAAAACCTGTTATTAAACCTTCTTTTCTTTTATATATTCATCCTATAAGCATCAGATATCTAAATAACATAATTTTATTTCAGAAGAAACAAGACTGCTACTTCTACCATTACAGAATAGTATTTATAAAAACAATGTTAATAATGTCTCAATAGAAATCACTTTAACATGAATACTATCAATAAAGAATTAGTTCTTGTCGACAGAAATAAATATTATTCTGCTCAAAAAGATTTTATTACTACACCAATCAATGGCTATGTCAACATGAATGTAGCAATCTTTAAGATGCAAGAGTATGCACTTTCTAACAATCTCACTCTTGTAACCAAAGACCATAAACCAACCCGAGTTTACTTAAGGTGCACCAGGGGTGGTCATTATAGAAACACTCATAAAATTGAAGATTGTGGTTGTGTTAAAACTCGTCCTAGCTCAAAAACTGGATGTCCGTATACGATAAAACTATCATACAAAAAAGGAATCAGGTGATATTTTCCCTTGAAAGCTTCCAACGAAATGGGAGCTTCCATAATCATCTTCTTTGATGACAAATGCTTGGAACCAACTTTTAAAGGGGGATTGTTGAGAGTTGCTGCTTAAGATGTTAAGCAAATTTCTAAGCTTGTAGAGACAAAGGCCAAGACTTGTGAGATCCAAAGGATTATCATGGATGAAACAGATGATGTTTATATGCTGTAAGTTAGCAATACAAGCAATATCAAGACTGCTTTTGCTTGAGTTTCTAGCCCTGTTACCCAGAATGCAGAAACTAGACTTGTTGAGATGATGGAAGCAAAAGTTTTCTAAACACACAACGACATCAATGGAGGCAATTCACTGGAAATGGTATTTTTTATCATCTAAAAGATGATGGAGAGAGCTCGCTGCTTCTCGGAAGTTATGATGGTTGATGCGACATATTTTATCAATAACTTGGAGATGCCCCTGATTTGCGTGGAAGGTATCTACAATCTTGGAGGAGAAACCCTCAAATCTTTCTCAATTGCCTTTGCCTGTGTCTCTAATGAACAGCAAGGCACATATCTTTGGTTCCTTCAGCAACTCGAGTCTTTTGTTTTCAAAGGAAAGACACTGATCACAGTGTCTGTGACAGACAAGTGCGCTGCATTGATGAACGCTCTGGACAGTGTATTTCCAGATAAAAATAAGATGCTTTGCTATTGACACATGTTAAATAGCGTGGAGAAGGCTCTTTTGGAAAAAGTAGGCTTGGAAGAAAGGAAGGAATAGCTTACAGGATACATAGCCAGCATGATCCATAATACAACCAAGAAAGAGTTTGACTTAGCTCTCAACAAGTTCAACAAAGTTTCTGATAGTACGAAGGTAAAAAATGGCAAGCAAAAAGTGCCAGCTGCAGTTTACTTCAATGACAAGTGGGTTGTATGTAAGGAGAAGTGGGTAGGCTACCTTACTTCCAAATTGATGCATTTTGGGTGTACAACGTCGCGAAGAGTGGAAAGTGCACATCATGCTTTGAAAAGAAGTATATCTGCTATAGAATCTCTGGACCTTGCCTTCGAGAGTATTGAAAGATACATCGAAAGTCTTTCTCAAGCCTTTCGAAATGTAGAGGTAAGGGAATCTATGACGGTTGACCCTCTTGTTGAACGAAACAATCTTTCATCCAAGCTACTCATGAAGGTGTCAAAGCGAGCTTTACTTTTGGTAGACCAGGAGATTCGGGTTGTGTGTGACAGCAGTACTTATTGCAAATGTATGAACAAGCTTCAATATGGTTTACCTTGCCGCCATTGTTTGCCTGCTGGAAGGGAAATATGTATTTCCGATATTCCTGAAATGTGGCTGATTGAACCTAGAATGGCGAAACAAGCCAAAAATACTCTCGAAGAAACAATCAGAGTTGATAAAAAACCAGAGGTGTGGATGGAGGAGATAATTAAACTTGAGACACTTTTTCGCTCTTGTGAGGGTAGCCAGCAAGTAGCTAAACTCTTGAATAAGATCAAGAATGTTACTTCTGAATTCGAAGGCAAAACTGGGAACCCTTCGATTAACTTTCAAGCCCCAGAAAAAATCAAGTACCCTGACAAACGGAATGATAGTGCACGTCCAACGTACCTCCCCAAATAATTTGGTCAGGAAAACTGGAGGAAGATCAGTGTTTCGTCTGGTCATGTAAGATAAAAAAAAATAACGTAACAAATTATTGATATGTATCTTGAAATACTAGGCTGGCCTTAAGGCAATGGTTAGGTTGAGACCCAGAATGAGGGAAGGAAATCCTGTAGCTACACAAAAAACAAAACAAAAGCAAACAAGAGTCTCTCGACCCAGGTAATATGCTTTCTTATTTTACAGTGTGATTGAATCCATAAAGAAAAATATCGTCTTATACTTATATGCTTTTTAGTTTCTGCCCCCCAAAAAAATGGGTTGATAAGACCTGTCACCGCTCTAGAAGATTACCAGTATGATAAGCGCACCTCTGTTGGCAAGAGGGTTAAATTCCAGCCCGGTTTTCCTGTCTCTCATGAGATAGTCGGTGTCGTTAAGGGTGGGTTTAACCTGACTGCTGATGGGCGGCGTGGTTTTCGGGTACTTGCCCACTTGATCTATAAAGATCAAAACAAATTCCCTCTTGTAAAAAGAGATATGATTTCTGTCTTGCCAAAATACAAGGAGACATATGCAAATACATTTGGAACTGATATTAAATAATTAAAAGACATCATAAAACATGGTTTTGATCTTTGCATCAACAATAACAACACCAACACCAACTTCATCCCAGCATGTTTAGATGCTAGTATGTGTTTTAATACATCCGACTGTGCTCAACTAGCTTCAGACACATATATACGACCAGTCTGTGCCTACTCATATAGCCCCAACACCACTTCTGTGTCGTTTCTTCCCTTTGCTCATCCCAAAAACACCTCAAAACAGCAACAACCTCTGATTTTTAATCATGTTAACAATAACGACTGGACAACAGTAAACCTTTCCCGCAATATCTCAAGGAAATGGCCAATTATTCCTGAGTTATTCCTTTTGGGCTGTGTCAGAAACCAGATTCCCAACAGCTTTGATACTTACTGGAACAAGTTTAAAGAGTTCAATAAGTATGATTACAGAAATGGCATGCTCTCTTTTCTTTCCGATCAAGAGGGACCTATTGATCTCACTATAAAATAATCTATTTTTTTCTTCTATTTTTCTTTTATTATATTATATTTTATTAGTTAGACAATCTTGTTTAAACCTTTATAAATCTTATCAATCTGTTTCTTTGCGTCCACATAAACTATCTATCACTTGCGAGTTAAATGACTCTCCTCTCTGTTTTTTCATAGAAATCATTTGTGGGAAGTACTTTACCCTTCGAGTTACACTTATATCCAGCGAATTAAAAAGCATAAATGTCGAATAGTGTTACATAGATTTAACCAAACTATCTTCAGATATCTTATCTTATGCATTTCTATCTATCTATTTTATAAATTCAAGTGTTGGCTCTCTATAACTTTGGATCCAAGTAGTATATAGATATAATTGTGTGTTAGAAGTTTTGGTTGAATTGAATATCTTGATCATGAGAATACTAACATAATATCTCAAAAATTTGCACTTTCTCAATAAAAGAAAATATTGTATTTGCTTGTAGAATCACTTTTTTCTCATTTGTTTTCTATGAAACTTTTACTGAATTTATATGCTATTTGAATATATGTAATTAGAGACTTTTTTTTTGGCCTTTTGTGAATATTTTTTTTTATTTTTTTGTATCTTTGATAAAATATCTCATGTACATGTTGTAAGGAAATAATAAAGAGTTTTTACAGAAGAAATAAAAACAAAAACATGAATTTTGTAAAGATATATTAGCTTAACTATAATGCAAACTTTCTTAGGCATAAAAGGCTGCATTACCTTTATATCCATTATGAAAGTTTTTGAAAAAAGATGCAAATTACATGGTTTATAATCTTTTCCACTTAAATCACACAAAATGAAAATATATGATTTATGTCTCAAGTTAAATCGTGAAAGTATGACTTGTCAGCAACCATAGGTATGTGATTTGTTGACGGGAACCAAATTAGTCGTGTTTGGGACACGACGTTGTGTCTCTCGGGCACAACATTTACAAATTGTATATTTTGTATACACTGCTATAAAAAAATAAAACTTTTAACAGAATTGCTACTCAAGTACAGCTAGGAATTCGAATATATTAAATAAAGAAATAATTTGTTCATGAATAAAATTATTTATATTTTAATAAATTGATTTTACTCATACAAACTACTTTGGGTGGTCAGGGACCAGATAAGATTGCTGGATGACGGACAAGTCACTCTTTATGAGACCGGTAAATGCTAAAGTGCGGAGGTCCAATAAACGTAGTGCTCCAGAGAAACGTTGTGCCCAAGAGGAAAAGTGTCTTGCCCGAATAACTAGCGCTTGCTTTTTTATTATATATATATATACTTTATACAGCAAAAAAATCCAAAAAGATAAAATTTATAAGCACTTTTAAGAGCATCTTCAGCAGTCCACTTTATCTCCACTTTTACATTAAATTTAAAGATTTAGCTAAAGTTTGTCCTCCCAGCAGTTCGATTAAATTCACTTTAAATATAACAGTCCCTTTTCTTTATCTTCCTATTAAATTTAATAGGAAGATAAAATTTATTGATGAAAACGCTCTCAAAATTTATTTAAAGAAAAAGATAAATCGAACTGCTGGGAAAATTGACCTTTTCTTTAGCTAAAGTAGCGGTGTTTAACTCTAGATAAATTAAAAGTTCTCTCACTGCTGAAGTTGCTCTAAGTAGGTAAAAAAAATTAGTAAATTTACTAGTAATGTTTTTGTAAACCTTTTTTTTTGGAAGAAAGATTGTGGCTTTATTTGTACTCCACTCTTTGCTTCCAGTGTATGCTTGTAATGTCAGAATATAGGACGGCTTTCTTCATATAAACGTTTATACAAGCTGATATTCTGTTATGTAGAGCATATATAGATATATAGCTATTCTATAATGTCTCTTATGCTAAATAATATTCTCTTTTCTTTAAAAAAAATATCTCTAACTTTTGAACACTCCAAATTGATGCCTTTTGGAGTGTCTGGTTTATGTATTCAACTAAAAAAAATTGTACTTTTAGAAACAACTCGTATTTTTGCTATTGGGCATTTAAAGAGCTTATTGAAGTGGTGCAAGTTTCCCGAATTTCAGGGTTCTATGCTTTTTGAGAGTAAAAAAATCGGATATTTTGATCAAAATTCGAGTAATTGTAATATAATAAACCTCGAAGAGGTGGATCACAATGTGTCTCACCAGGTTACTTAAAGCCAAAAAAAACATTGCTTATTTGATTCTATTTTTAATTTTCTATAATTGAAAAGCTATGATTACCATTGGTGTGCATTTGCATATGCTTGTAGAAATCTTAAAAAATATCATTTCCAGTACACTCATATTTAATCAACCATAGAAAAGGTTCATTTATACAAAGGCTCCGTGCTTCAAACTAAAATAGTCTCAAGCGAACCAAAGCTAGACTATGAACCTCAAAATAATAAGTGGAATCATACTATACAGTACTGTAGCGCATTATATTGTATTACAAAACAAAAGTTATAAATCAAAGCCTTTAATCCAACAGAGTATTATTTCTAGGTTATTCGTGCATCCAGTTGAGTTTGGTATACAAGCGCAAAATATCAAAAGCACTAGATCCTATAAATCGATAATTAGTAATCGATAGCGTCTTGCTCCCAACCAAACAAAACCTATACATTCAGTAGCAGTAGATTGTCTCTTTGCTTTCATATTGTGCCGTCAGTCAGTCTGAGCAATATCAGAAAAAAATAGTAAATAAGCAGAGCCTTTAAAAGGTGATTTATATATATGTAATAGCCATTTTACTAGCTTGATCTATCTGTGACCAGGCTAGCACAATTGCAAGCACCACTACTTTTTCATGGTGTATAATGTAACTTATATAAATAATTATAATTATCGATAGAATGGTGTATATTTGAACACATATAAATGTAAAGTGTTTCAGGCAGTTGGGTTATTCTGTATTAATTTCTCAGTTGGATTATGATTGGTTTATAAAGTAGTACAAACCAAGGTCGATTGACAAACACTAGCCTAGACCCTGTTCTTCTTTCGCTAATTATTCGGGCCAGACACTTTTCCTCTCGGGCACGACGTTTCTCTGGAGCACTACGTTTATTGAATCTCCGCCTTTCACCATTTACCGGCCTCATAAAAAGTGATTTGTTGTCCGGCATCCAGCAATTTTATCTGGTCCCTAACCACCCAAAGTAGTTTATATGAGTAAAATCAATCTATCAAAATATAAATAATTTAATTCATGAATAAGGTACATCTTCATTTAATATAACGGAATTTCTAGGTGTACTTAAGTAGTAACCATATTAAAATTTCTATTTTTTTTATGCAGTATATACAAAATATACAATTTGTAAACGTCGTGCCCGAGAGGCAAAACGTCGTGTCCCAAACGTGACTGTGTAAGAAACGTCGTGTTCGAGAGGCAAAACGTCGTGTCCCAAACGTGACTGTGTAAGAAACGTCGTGTTCGAGAGGCAAAACGTCATGTCCCAAACGTGACTGTGTAAGAAACGTCGTGTTCGAGAGGCAAAACGTCATGTCCCAAACGTGACTGTGTAAGAAACGTCGTGCTCGAGAGGCATAACGTCGTGTCCTAAATGTGGCGATAGAATAATTGTGTTCAAGAAAACTGTTGATGCAATATTTTACTTATTGAAAGTAAAGCTTCTATAAGTATAATTATAGAGGTTTCTAGAATTTTACTTTACATTTTAAAGAGTTCATATTCAATGCAATGTCTTTTTTATTGTAGTTCTCATGCAATAAACGCACAATATAAAATAAATAAATAAAAATTGTGACCACACCTATTTCTGTAAAAACACAAGATCTATTTGGTTCCCGTCAACAAATCATATACCTGCTGTTGCTGATGAGTCATTTTTTCACGATTTAACTTGAGACATAAATCATATATTTTCATTTTATGTGATTTAAGTGGAAAAGATTATAATCCATATAATTTGCATTTTTTTCAAAAACTTTCGTAATAGATATAAAGGTAATGAAGCCTTTTATGCCTAAGAAAGTTTGCATAGCAGTAAAGCTAATATATTTTTACAAAATTCATGTTTTTACTTTTTATTTTTTATTTTTATTTCTTCTGTAAAAACTCTTTCTATCATTTCCTTGCAACATGTACATGAGATATTTTATCAAAAATACAAAAAATGAAAAATATTCATATAAGACCAAAAAAAGTTTTTAATTACATATATTCAGATAACATATGAATCCAGTAAAAGTTTCATAGAAAACAAATGAGAAAAAAGTGATTCTACAAGCAAATACAATATTTTATTTTATTGAAAAAAAGCAAATTTTTGAGATATTACGTTAGTTTTCTCATGATCGACCCTTTCAATTCAACTAAAAATCCTAGAACACATACATATATCTATAAACTACTTGGATCCAAAGTTATAGAGAGCCAAGTCTTGAATTGATGAAATAAATAGATGCAAATGCATAATATAACATATTCGAAGATAATTTGGCTCGATCTGTGTAACACCATCCGATATTTATGATTTTTAATTCGCTGGTTATAAGTGTAACTCGAAGGGTAAAGTACTTCCCACGAATGATCTCTAGGAAAAAACAGAGCGGAAAGTCATTTAACCCACAAGTGATAGATAGCTTATGTTGATGCAAAGAAACAAATTGATAAGATTTATAAAGATTTAAAAAAATTGTCTAGCTAATAAAATATAAAAGCAAATGAGTAAATAAATAAGAAAAGATCTAGCTAATAAAATATAAGTAATAAAGTATAATTAAAAGAGTAATAAAATAGAAAAGAATATCGAAAAGAAATTATTTTGGAGTAAGATCAATTGGTTGATCTAGATCAGAATGGAGAGAGAGCATGGCATTTCGGCGATCATGCTTGTTAAATTCTTTGAACTTATTCCAGTAAGTATCAAAGTTATCATCAATCTTATTTCTGGCACAACCTAAAAAAAATAATTCAGGAACGGTTGGCCATTTTCTAGAGATATTACGGGAAAGGTCAACTGTTGTCCAGTGATTACTGTTAACATGATTAAAAATCAGAGGTTGTCGTTGTTTGGTTTTGTTGTTGGGAAGGGCGAATGGGAGAAAGGTTGTTGAGGGGGTGTTGGGGTTGTCTGAGTAGACGCAGACTGGTCGTGTATATGTGTCCGCAGCTAGTTGAGCACAGTCGGGTGTGTTAAACCACATACTGGCGTCTGAACATACTGGGATGAAGTTGGTGTTGGTGTTGCTGGTGTTGCTATAATCGAGTTGAGAGCCATGTTGAATGATTTTTTCTAGTTGGCTTGTGTCAGTGCCAAAGGTATTTGTGTACAATGTTTTGTATTTCGGCAGGGCGGCTAGCATATCCCTTTTTACAAGTGAAAACTTATTTTGATCTTTGTAGATCAAGTGGGCAAGGACCCGAAAACCACACCATCCGTCAGCAGTAGGGCTAAACCCACCCTTGACATCATCGATTATCTCATGAGAGACAGGAAAACCGGGCTGGAATTTGACCCTCTTGCCAACAGAGGTGCGATTATCATACTGGTAATCTTCTAAGGCGGTGGCGGGTCTTTTGAACCCATTTTTTTGGGGGGCATCGACTAAAAAGTATATAAGTATAAGACGATAGTTCTCTTTATGGATTCAATTACACTGTAAAATAAGAAAGCATATTACCTGGGTCGAGAGGCTCTTGTTTTATTTTTGTTGTTTTATTTTTGGTGGCATCGACTAAAAAGCATATTCGTGTAAGACGACATCCTTCCACATAAATTCAATTAAAGTAAAATAAAAACACATCTTACCAGGGTCAAGAGGCTCTTGCTTTATTTGTTTTATTTTGTTTTTGGTAGCATCGACTAAAAAAACATGAAAGTATAAGATGGGAATCCTTTCTCATAGATTCAATTACATTGTAAAATAAGAACACATCTTACCTGGGTCGAGAGGCTCTTGTTTGTTTTTGTTTTGTTTTTTGTTTTTTGTTTTTTGTGTAGCTGCAGGCTTTCCCTCCCTCATTTTAGCTCTCAGTCTAACCATTGCCTTAAGGCCAGCCTAGTATTTCAAGATACATATTAGTACTTTGTTATGTTATTTTTTTTTATCTTACATGACCAGACGAAACACTGATCTTCCTCCAGTTTGCCCGACCAAAGTCTTTGGGAAGGTATTTGGGACGTGCACCACCCTTTCTTCTGCCAGGATATTTAATTTTTTCTGGGGCTTGAAAGTTAATCGAAGGGTGCCCAGTTTTGCCTTCGAATTCAGAAGTGACCTTCTTGATCTTATTCAGGAGGTTAGCCACTTGCTGGCTGCCCTCACAGGACCGAAACAGTGACTCGAGTTTAATTACTTCCTCCATCCACACCTCTGGTCTTTCCTCAAGCTGGAAGTTTTCCCGATAAGTGTTGTCCCTTGGCTTTACATTACGAGGATCAATAACCCACCTTTCAGGGATATCAGAAATATAGATATCCCTTCCAGCAGGCAAAGAATGGCGACAAGGTAGACCATACTGGAGCTTGTTCATGCATTCACAAACAATACTGCTTTCACATTTCAGTCGAACCTCTTGGTCTATTACCAGTAAAGCTCGCTTTGAGACCTTCATGAGCAGTCTAGACAAAAGCTTGTTTCGTCCAACAAGAGGGTCAACCGTGGTAGATTCCCTGATCTCCACATTCCGGAAGTCTCTCTCAAGCCTCTCGATATATCTTGAAATATTTTCAAAGGCGAGATCCAGAGAAGCTATTGCAGATATACCTCTCTTTAAGGCTTGATGGGCACTTTCCACTCTTTGAGATGTTGTGCATCCAAAATGCATTATCTTCTGAGTAAGATAACCTGCCCACTTCTCTTGGCATGTAATCCACCTGTCATGAAAATATGCCGAGACTGGCGCTTTCACATTGCCGTTTTCTACTTCGGAACCAGCAGATACAGCGTTGAACTTATTCAGCGCCCAGTCAAACTCCTTCTTACTTTTGCTATGGATCATATTGGATATATATCCCGTCAGCTCTTCCTTTTTTTGTACCGAGCCAACTTTTCCCGAAAAAGCCTTTTCCACACTATTCAGCATGTGCCAGTAACAAAGCAGCTTGCTGTTGTTCGGAAACACAACATCAAGAGCGTTCATAAGTGCAGCACACTTGTCTGTCACAAAAACTGTGCTAAGAGCCTTGTCTTCAAAAACAAGTGCCTTGAGTTGCTGGAGGAACCAAAGATATGTGCCTTGCTGCTCGTTAGAGACCCAGGCAAAGGCAATGGGAAACGATTTGAGGGTTTCTCCTCCGAGGTTGTGGATACCTTCCACGCAAATCAGCGGCATTGACAAGTTATTGGTAGAATATGTAGCATCTACCACCATAACTTCTGAGAAGCGACGAGCTCTCTCCATCATCTTCTGATTGGTAAAAAATACCCTCTCCAGCGAATTGTCCCCGTTTACATCATAATGCACCTGGTAACCTTTTGCTTCCATCATCTTAACAAGTCCAGTACCCGCATTCTGGGCAACAGGGGCAGAAACTCGAGCAAAGGCAGCCTTGATATTGTTGATATCGCTAACGTACAGCTTATGACCATCGTCTTTTTCGTCTGTGATAGCCCTTTGGATCTCACGAGTCTTGGCCTTTGTCTCAACAAGTTTAGATATCTGCTTGGCGTCTTCGGCAGTAACTCTCGACAATCTGCCTTTCAGAGTCGATTCCAAGCATTTGTCATCAAGAGGATGATTGTGATAACTCTCCATTTCACTAGAAGCTTTCAAGGGAAGATATCCTTTGATTCCTTTCTTGTAAGATAGCTTTATCATGTAAGGACATCCGGTTTTCGAACTAGGGCGGATTTTTACGCGATCGCAGTCTTCAAGTTTATGGGTGTTTCTATAGTGACCACCCCTGGCGCACTTTAAGTAAACCCGGGTTGGTTTACGGTCTTTAGTTGCAAGAGTGAAGTTGTTAGCAAGTGCATACTCCTGCATCTTAGAAATAGCCACAGTCATGTTGGCATAGCCATTGACTGGTGTAGTGGGAAAGTCTTGTTGAACGGGATAATATTCATTTCCGTCGATAAAAATTGATTCTTTATTGATAGTATTCATGTTGAAGTGATTTCTATTGAGCGATTGTTAACATCGTTTTTACAAATACTAATTTGTAATGATAGAAGTAGCACTCTTGTTTCTTCTGATAAAAACACTATATTATGTAAAAGATGTCTAATTCTTACAAGATGAGTATATAAAAGAAAAGAAGGTTTTATAACGGGTCTTTCACTAATTTCTTCAGGACACAACTTTTTTTTGCTTTCAGGTACTCTGTTACCATTGAAGGCCGGACCATAGTCACTTTTCAGGAGTCCGGTACACAATTAAAATCGGTGTTTAGAATATTTTTAGTACTCTATAGAAACGTCGTGCCCGAGAGGAAAAGCGTCGGGCCCGAATAATAGCTGAAATGGAAGTCTTTCACACGAAAGAAAAGAAAAGATATAAGCAGCAATTTTTTTCGGGGGTGCTTCTTAAACTAATAAAGTCACAGCATGTGAAACAAACAAACAAGAAAACAAACAAATAAATATACACAAGACTTTAATTAAAGCTTTATAATCAACACAACTTTACACTTCTTTATTGTAGTTTAACGTCTAGCCGATTAATACTTTGTATATCAGTAGTACAGCTAAAATGAACACAGAGGCATATATAGTGTCTCGACAAGTGGCTGTTCAAAAGCATAAGCCTTGTTAACAGAATCACAACAGAAAGTAGAATAAAAAAGGGGATGGGGGTCCATAGCAACTGAATAATTTGACATGCATATAGTCCACCAATCGGAAGACATCATTTAAATGTTTTCATGCTAAAGTAAAGTCTGGACCACTATTGCTACTATGCTCCTCTAAGCCCCATGACACATGTGATGCTGCACGGACAGCACGGACCTTATGTGACATAAAAAGAACTAAAACAAAAAAAGAGGCAAAAGAAAAAAACAAAAAGTAAAACAAGTGCCTGCACAGCACGTCCTTCAGAATATAAGTGATACTTCTTTAAAACCCAAAACCCATATTTTAAGCATAGATATTAAATAAAGAAGTAAAATAGTAATAATATATACATGCTGTCAAGGCTAAAAGATAAAAGAAAACCGAAAAAGGAATAAGAAAAAAACCGAATTTTATAATATATTATCAAACTATCATAATAAAAATAATAAAAAAGAACAGCAACTCATGATTGAGACGTCATGAGTTTTATAAAAAAAAACACCTATCCAAACAGAACGCGTCAAAACAACTCTCTTCCACATACCATTAATACTTTATACACTTCTTTACTGCTCTCTCACAAACTGCTTTAATCAACATAGACGTTAAAGACGAATCATGACCAATACAAATCCATTTTGCTAGTCAAATCTCAGGCTTTTATCATATGTAAAACAGTCAGTAGCAAGATATAAGACAACATGTCAAAGCCAGTACACAGCAAAAATGAAATACTGAGGTCCAACACTGGTTTGACCATCAATCCATCCAAAGCCTATTCACGCTCAGAAACAAGATATAAACTGACAGGACTTACTATATTTCAAGGAGTATATGATATTTATCAAAGACACACATTGTGAAGATTATATTTGTCTAGTCTTTTGACAAACAAGGTCAACGATAAAAAATAAGATCTCCATCCAGGCCTACAGGTATATAAAGGCTCGTTGATTAATCATTCACTGTCTTTGATATTTCTTTAGGGACTTTTCAGGCAAAGTCAAGCAATCAAGAACAGGTTTCCATCCAGGGCCACAGGTACACCAAGACTCGAGGAGCATATGCTCATTGTCTTTTGTATGCTTCTAGTGCCTTCCGTCCAGGTCAAGCATCAGGGATCCGATCAGAGTCCATGGTTATCAAGTATATCAAAACTCTATGAGCAGTTACTCACTTGTTTTTGTATATTTGTAGTATCCATTCCATCCAGGTCAAGCTTCAAGGTTCAGGTCAAGGTCCACGGTTATCAAGTATATCAAAACTCTATGAGCAGTTACTCATTTGTTTTTGTATATTTGTAGTATTCATTCCATCCAGGTCAAGCTTCAAGGTTCAGGTCAAGGTCAACGGATTCAGGTCGAGGTCCACGGTTTCAGGTATATCAAAACTCGATGAGCAGGTACTCACTTGTTTTTGTATATTTCTAGTATCTGTTCCATCCAGGTCAAGCTTCAAAGCCCACGTCAAAGTCCACGGTTTCAGGTATATCAAAACTCGATGAGCAATTACTCACTTGTTTTTGTATATTTCTAGTATCTGTTCCATCCAGGTCAAGCTTCAAAGCCCACGTCAAAGTCCACGGTTTCAGGTACATCAAAACTCGATGAGCAATTACTCACTTGTTTTTGTATATTTGTAGTATCTATTCCATCCAGGGCAAGCTTCAAGGTTCAGGTCAAGGTCAGCGGGTTCAGGTCGAGGTCCACGGTTTCAGGTATATCAAAACTCGATGAGCAGTTACTCACTTGTTTTTGTATATTTGTAGTATCCAATCCATCCAGGTCAAGCTTCAAGGTTCAGGTCAAGGTCCACGGTTATCAGGTATATCAAAAATCTATGAGCAGTTACTCACTTGTTTTTGTATATTTGTAGTATCTATTCCATCCAGGTCAATCTTCAAGGTTCACGTCAAGCTTCAAGGTCCAGGTCAAGGTCCACGGTTTTCAGGTATATCAAAACTCGATGAGTAGTTACTCACTTGTTTTTGTATATTTGTAGTATCCAATCCATCCAGGAAAAGCATCAATGTTCCGATCTCCCAGCTATGATCATAGGTATAACAAAACCATATGCGCATTTACTCACTAGCTTTTATCTATTACTAGTGTCAGCCATCCAGGTCAAGTGTCAAGGACCCGATTTCCCGGCAATGGGTATAGGTATAACAAATCGTTGTGGGAATATACTCACTAGTTATAATATATTTATAGTGTTCAGCCATCGATGTCAGGCGTCAAGGTTGCGATCTTCCAGCCAAGGTTATAGGTATAACAAAACATTATGGAAATATACTCAATGGTTTTATTATGTTTTTAGTGTTCACTCATCCAGGTCAATCAACAGGATTCTGATCTCCCGTCCATGGTTATAGGTATAACAAAACGTTATGGGAATATACTCACTAGTTTTAATATATTTATAATGTTTAGCCATCGATGTTAGGCGTCAAGGTTCCGATCTTCCAGCCATGGTTCTAGGTATATCAAAACAATATGGAAATATACTCACTGGTTTTAATATGTTTTTAGTGTTCCGTCATCCAGGTCAATCAACAGGATTCTGATCTCCCGTCCATGGTTATAGGTATAACAAAACGTTATGGGAATATACTCACTAGTTTTAATATATTTCTAGTGTTTAGCCATCCATGTCAAGCGTCCAGGTTCCGATCTCCCAACCATGTTTACAGGTATAACAAAACGTTATGCGCATTTACTCGCATGCTTTTATCTATTACTAGTGTTCAGCCATCTAGGTCAAGTGTCAAGGTTCCGATTGCCCGCCCATGGTTAAAGGTATAAAAAACCTTATGGGCATATATTGACTAGTTTTTATATTTATTTGTGAACTCCAGCCATCCGTGTCAAGCGTCAAGGACCCGATCGCCCGTCCATGGTTATAGGTATAAAAACATTATGAGCGTATACTCATTAGTTTTTATATTTATTTAAGTCTCCAGCCATCCGTGTCAAGCATCAAGAACCCGATCCCCCGTCCATGGTTACAGGCATAAAAACATTATGGGCAAATACTTACTAGCTTTTATCTATTTCTAGTCTCCGGTCATCAATGTGAAGCGGCAAGGACCCGATCGCCCGTCAATGGTTATAGGTAAAAAAAAACCATTAGGGACATATACACACTAGCTTTTATCTATCTCTAGTCTCCAGTTATCCAGGACAAGCATCACGGTTTCGATCTCCCAGCTATGGTTATAGGTATAACAATACATTATGCGCATTTACTCACTAGCTTTTATCTATTACTAGTGTTCAGCCATCCAGGTCAAGTGTCAAGGACCCGATCGCCCGGCCATTGGTATAGGTATAAAAAAACGTTGTGGGAATATACTCACTAGTTATAATATATTTATAGTGTTCAGCCATCGATGTCAGGCGTCAAGGTTCCGATCTTCCAGCCATGGTTCTAGGTATAACAAAACATTATGGAAATATACTCACTGGTTTTAATATGTTTTTAGTGTTCAATCATCCAGGTCAATCAACAGGATTCTGATCTCCCGTCCATGGTTATAGGTATAACAAAACGTTATGGCAATATACTCACTATTTTAAATACATTTCTAGTGTTCCGCCAATCATGTCAAGCGTCCAGGTTCCCATCTCCCTGCCATGGTTATAGATGTAAAAAATCATTAGGGACATATACTCACTAGCGTTAATATATGTCTAGTGTTCAGTCATCCAGGTCAAGCATCTAGGTTCTGATCGCCAATCCATGGTTAAAGGTATAAAACAACATTATTGGCGTATACTCACTGTTTTTATCTAGTTCTAGTCTCCAGTCATCCAGGTCAAGCATCAAGGTTCTACTCGCCCGTCAATAGTGACAGGTATAACAAAATGTTATGGGCATATATTCACTAGTTTTAATATATCTCTAGTGTTGGGCCATCCAGGTCGAGCATCAAGGTTCCGATCGCCCGTCCATGGTTATAGGTATAAAAACATTATGAGCGTATACTCATTAGTTTTTATATTTATTTAAGTCTCCAGCCATCCGTGTCAAGCATCAAGGACCCGATCGCCCGTCCATGGTTATAGGTATAAAAAACATTATGGGTATACACTCACTAGTTTTATCTATTTCTAGTGTTCAGTCGTCCAGGTCTAGCAACAAGGTTTTGATCGCCCGTCCATGGTGATAGGTATAACAAAGCGATATGGGCATATACTCTCTAGCTTTAATATATTTTTAGTGTTCAGTCATCCGGATGAAGCGTCAAGGACCCGATCGCACGTCCATGGTTATAGGTATAAAAAAAATTGGTATATACTCACTAGTTTTGATTTAGTTCTAGTCTCCAACCATCTGGTCAAACATTAAGGTTCTGATCTCCCAGCCAAGGTTATAGGTATAACAAAACGTTATGGGCATATACTCACTAGTTTTAATATATGTCTAGTGTTCAGTCATCTAGGACAAGCATCAAGGGGCTGATAGCCCGTCTATAGTTATAGGTATAAAAAAAACATTATTGTCATTTACTCACTAGTTTTGATATTTATTTCTAGCCTCCAGCCATTCAGATCAAGCGTCAAGGACCTGATCGCCCCTCCATGGTCATAAGTATAAAACAACATTATGGGCATATACTCACTAGCTGTAATATACTTCTTGTGTTCAGTCTCCAGGTCAAGCATCAAGGTTCTGGTCTCCCCGCCATGGTTATAGGTATAAAAAAACATTATGGGCATATACTCACTAGATTTAATATATCTCCAGTCTCCAGCTATCCAGGTCAAGCATCAAGATTCCGATCTCCCCGCCATGGTTATAGGTATAAAAAAACATTATGGGCATATACTCACTAGATTTAATATATCTCCAGTCTCCAGCTATCCGGATCAAGCATCAAGATTCCGATCTCCCCGCCATGGGTATAGGTATAAAAAAACATTATGGGCATATACTCACTAGATTTAATATATCTCCAGTCTCCAGCTATCCAAATCAAGCATCAAGATTCCGATCTCCCAGCTATGGCTATAGGTATAACAAAACGTTATGCGCATATACTCACTAGCGTTAATATATGTCTAGTGTTCAGTCATCCAGGTCAAGCATCTAGGTTCTGATCGCCAATCCATGGTTAAATGTATAAACAACATTATGGGCGTATACTCACTAGTTTTAATCTAGTTCTAGTCTCCAGCCATCCAGGTCAAGCATCAAGGTTCTACTCGCCCGTCCATGGTGGTAGGTATAACAAAATGTTATGGGCATATATTCACTAGCTTTAACATATTTCTAGTGTTCAGCCATCCAGGTCAAGCATCAAGGTTCCGATCGCCCGTCAAAGATTATAGGTATAAAAACATTATGGGCCTATACTCACTAGCTTTAATATTTTTCTAGTGTTCAGTTATCCAGGTCAAGCATCAAGGACCCTATCGCCCGCCCATGGTTATAAGTACAAAAAGCATTATGTGCATATACTCATTTTTTTAATCTAGTTCTAGTCTCCAGCCATCCAGGTCAAGCATCAAGATTCTGATCGCCCGTGCATGGCGATAGGTATAACAAAATGGTATGGGCATATATTCACTAGATTTAATATATTTCTAGTTTTCAGCTATCCAGGTCAAGCATCATGGTTCCGATCGCCCGTTAATGGTTATAGGTATAAAAAAACATTATGGGCCTATACTCACTAGTTTTTATATTTATTTCTGGTCTTCAGCCATCCGTGGCAAGCATCAAGGACCCGATCACCCGTCCATGGTTATAGGTATAACAAATCGTTATTGTCATTTACTCACTAGCTTTGATATTTATTTCTAGCCTCCAGCCATTCAGATCAAGCGTCAAGAACCTGATCACCCCTCTATGTTTATAGGTATAAAACAACATTATGGGCATATACTCACTAGCTTTAATATATTTCTAGTATGCAATCATCCAGGTCAAGCATCAAGGCTTCGATCGCCAGCCGATGGTTACAAGTGTAAAAAAAACGTTATGCCCATATACTCACCAGATTTAATATATTTCTAGTATTCAGCCATCCATGTCAAGCCTCAAGGTTCAGATCGCCCGTCCATGGTCATAAGTATAAAACAACATTATGGGCATATACTCACTAGCTGTAATATACTTCTTGTGTTCAGTCTTCCAGGTCAAGCATCAAGGTTCTTATCTCCCCGCCATGGTTATAGGTATAAAAAAACATTATGGGCATATACTCACTAGATTTAATATATCTCCAGTCTCCAGCTATCCAAATCAAGCATCAAGATTCCGATCTCCCCGCCATGGTTATAGGTATAAAAAAACATTATGGGCATATACTCACTAGATTTAATATATCTCCAGTCTCCAGCTATCCAGATCAAGCATCAAGATTCCGATCTCCCCGCCATGGTTATAGGTATAAAAAACATTATGGGCATATACTCACTAGATTTAATATATCTCCAGTCTCCAGCTATCCAGGTCAAGCATCAAGATTCCGATCTCCCCGCCATGGGTATAGGTATAAAAAGCATTATGGGCATATACTCATTATTTTAATCTAGTTCTAGTCTCCGGCCATCCAGGTCGAGCTTCAAGGTGCTGATCTCCCGTTATATGGTTATAGATATAACAAAAATCGATGAGCAATCACACTCGGCTTTATTTATTTCTAGTGTTGAATCCACCAAGATCATGCTTCACGGATCCGGATTCAGTCCGTGGCTATAGGTATACAAAAACTCGATGAGCAATTACTCATTGGATTTTATATATTTCTAGTGTCTACTCATCCACGGCAATTATCGGGATCCGATTTTCATGAATTGTTATAGCTAACCAAGTTTCCTTTAAACCTTTACTTAAAACAAACTGTACTCTTTATTTATACTTTCTTTTGATGGCAAAGAACGATGATCAAAATATACATCCATTATGGAAGGTATACAAGTCGTTCTTGGCCATTACTAGCCTAGAAGTATATATGACTATTGTTTTTACTCTCCAGGCCAAACAGCAAGGATCAAAACTCAAATTTGGGCTACAGGTAAACAAGTCTTCTTGAGCTTTTACTTACTGTCATCTATATATTTCTAGTGTTTTTTTTTTCTTAAAGTTCAAATATCAAAGATCTGATTTCAAATCAAGGTTACGGGTACACACTTTTCTCTCTGTCTTTACATGCTTTCTTTCGTATTGGCCTAGTGTGTTTACGATCCGGCTACACAATGAAAAATTTGTTTTCCTTCCAGTGCGACAGGTATATACATCTAGTTCGGCCTTTAGTTACTGTTGGCTTTATTTCTCTACTGGCTTCACAGTCCAAGCCAGCCATCATGGATCCTATATCCGTCCAGTGTTACAGGTATACACTTCTCTTTGGGATTTTACTTACTGTCGGTTTTAATTTTCTACTGTCCTTAAAGTCAAGGCCAACGACCAATCATCTGGTATCCGCCGAGAATTACAGATATAAAAATGTTATTGGGCCGTTACTTATAATTGTTTTTGTTTCTCTAGTGTCCTTGCAGTCAAGGGTAGCGAGCAAGAACCCGGTCTCCATATTGGGATATAGTGTTACACATCTCTTTGATTTTTGACTTGCTGCAAACTGTATTTTTTCTCGTGACTTTACAGTCAAATTCAACACTCAAGGATCCGGTTTCCATCAAGTTTTACAGGTATACAAATCTGACAAGTGCTTTTATTTAATGTGTCTTTTTTTTGTCAAGTGCCTTTACTGTCTGTGCCAATGATTCCGAATCCGAGCCCTATCCAGAGTGACAGGTATACAAATATGTTTGCGTCTTTACTAACTTTTAGTTTTCTATGTCTAGTGCCTATACGGTTTAGGCCGAAGAACTAGGACTTGATATTCATCCAGACTTGCAGATATATATTTTTCGTTGGGCCGTTGATTATTGGCTTTTTTTATCCGTCTATTGTTTTTACTGTCAAGGGCAACCATCAAGGATTCGATCTCCATCCAGTATGACAGGTATACACTTTTCTTTGGGTTTCTACTTATCGCTTGTTTTTTTTTTGTCTAGTGTTTTCACCGCCCAGGTCGAAGAACAAGGATTTCTTCTTCATCCACGGTTACAGGTATACAATTCTCTTTTAGCCTTTGCATAATGCTTGTTTGATTTTTCTAATTTCATTAATGTCTATGCTAAATAATAAGCATCTACTCTCCATCTAAGGCCATAGGTTTAAAAAATATTTTTAAGTATTATTTTACTATTTATTAATTAATTAATTATTATTTTTTAATTTTACACAGCCAAGGCCAATCGATCCAGGTTTACTGTCCTCTAGGGTAACAAGTATATGTACATACCTGATCGTTTACTTACTGCTTGTTGTTTCGAGTAATTTTTATTTAGTCAAACTGAATTACCAAAGTTTTACTATCTACCTAGTGCCCGAGGTATACAGGTCTCATTTAGTACTCACGTATCACTTATTATTCTGTCTAGCTTTTTTATAGTTTAAGCCAGCAATCGGGTTTTTAATCTCCATTAAGGATTAAAGGTATACATGACTATGTGAACCTTTACTTACTAGCTATTATATTTTCTAGTCTTTTTACAGGAAAGGCCCACAATTAATATGAGTTGTTTATCCGGGGGGGGGGGGGGGGGACAGGTATACAAATCTGCCAAAAAATCTACTTACTATATATTTGCATAATGTTTTTACAGCCGAAGCCAACGATCAAAGCTTTGATATTCTTTTGGGCTCACAGGTATAAAAGTCTCTTTGACTTTTTAGGTACTATCAGTTGTTTTGTTCTAACCCTTTCTTCTCCGCAGCAAGCGTTCAATGCTCAGCTCTACATCAAAGGTCGCAGGTATACAAGAATCTTTAAGCAATTTACTAAAAATTAGATTTTCCTAGCGTTTACATAGTCAAGGCGAAATGATCATGTTCTTTCTATCCATTCAAGGTTCTAGGTACACACGCACATTTTAGCATTTATTCTTCACTGGTTGAATCTTTTTAATCTTTGACAGTCCATGCCGAGAATCAAGGTTGCACTTCAAAAAATAGGGTTAAGGTATACATGCCTTTTTAAGCATTTACTTACTACTAGTTGCTTTATTCAGACTTTATACAGTCGAGACCAAAGATCAAGAGCCCGATTTCCGCATAGATTTACAGGGATACAAGTGGCTTTCTTTACCCATTAACATATTGATAGCTGTTTGAAGCAGTCTTTTTACAGTTCAATTCAACAGTCAAGGTTCAAATCCCCGTCAAAAATCACTGATATACTGCCACTTTTTAGTATTTACTTACTGCCAATTGTGTTTCTTTAGTCTACTCACAGAAAAGGCCAACAATCAAGATGCCACTCTCCTTCTTGGATGTTAGGTATACCAGTATCTTTGGGTATTTACCTATTACCAGCTTTAGTTCGGTAGTCTTTTCACAATTGAGGCCAACACCCAAGATTCCATAGTTCATGCAGGGTTACTGGTATATATACCTCTTTGAGCATTTGCTTGGTGTCTGCTATATTTGTCTAGTCTTTTCATAGTCAAGGCTACTAATTGAGATTCCGCTGCTCATCTAGGGTAAAAGGT